GTGTGTGTGTGTGTGTGTGTGTGTGTGTGTGTGTGTGTGTGTGTGTGTGTGTGTGTGTCCACTTTTCTCCCACCTAACGGTGCTGCAGAGTTGTGTGCTCCTTGGCATCACCAGGTAATTCCGCCTGTTCGCACCGCTGTCCTTCTCCCCAGTCGCTCCAGACTCAGCGCCAACCCACTTCGCTCCCAGTGCAGCTGTGGCTGCTGCTGGGTGGAGCAGCTACAGTTGGTGCTCCTCACCTTCCTCCATCAGTGAGCGCTGGACTGGCTGCCATACGCTCGAGCAGAGCTAGCAATGCAGCCAGTACCCCGAATATGTGGAAGGCAATGACCTCCTCCCCCCTTGTCACTCCCTGGAGGCCGCACGTGAGCTTCCGAGGACCGACTGGATCTAGTCCTGGCTTCCAGCCCCTGCAGAGAACGGAGAGGCTGGGCCCTTCGGAAATAGCAACGAGTATGACGAGGCCCCATATTTTCTCTTTCTGTGCGCTTGGAATTTTCAGAAGGGAGGGCTTCGTTTGGCTCCCACTGCCCGCCCTTTTCCTTTTTTTTTTTTTTTTTTTGTCGCACTTGTGGTGCAGCTGCGCTTGTGCGCGCATATGCGCACGTGCACAACTCGTGCACACGTGATGTGCCATATGTATGGTCCAAACGGTCTGTCTGCCAGTGCCAGAACAGTCCCCGTTGTTAGTCTCTTGTCAGTCAGCCGCGGATCAAGTAGCCAGTAGTCTGCAAATCGGCAACGTCTGCGAATGTTAGGAAAAAAAAAATAAAAAAATTCCCACATCTGATTTCTCTGCGGTTTTTGAATCTGCACTTATCTCTTTCTACTAACAGCTCGGTGTACCGGGTTGTGAAGATTTGCTGAATGGTTTGGGTATGGGAACAGGGATTCACAGAAAATTTCTGCTGCTAACCTGTATCTGTTACCGCCCGCCGCCCGGTTTTGCCTGCAACCAGGAGTGTTGCCCAGATTGTGTATTTCCTCTAACCTTTTTGCATTTCTGCGTACAAACAACATACTTTCTGATCAGTCTGTGTTCAGTGTGTGAACACTAATCCGATTGTTTTATTTTATTTATTATTCATTGAAAAGAGTTTGTTGAAATGGGGGATAAGGATGGCTCAAGCGGTTCTGGGAAGGACGAGGCGGCAGCCCCTCCACCTCTACCTCCACCTCTACCTCCACCTCTACCTCCACCTCCAGTGGATACATAGGTGGAAAGGCCCTCTCATTCCGAAAACAGATGTGTAGTTAGCCTTGGAAGCTGCGCTGAAGGCTGCAGAAGCGGCCAAGGCCCAGGTGGAGAAGATGCAGAAGGAGAAGGAAGAGGCAGAGAAAAACCAAGGAAGTGAACAGAAGGGAAACCTTTGCTGATTAAACCCTTGCTGATTACTTCCTGAAAACAGAAGGAGACAGGAGGTTCAATGAAACCAATTGTCTCCTTGCTGAGTGGATCAGATTGGAAATGACTGGCATGCGAGATGCCTACACTTCCTGGGTGGACAGAATGACCACTGTGAAAGACAAGTTAGCTATCATTGAAGGTCAACCGCCCTCCCTCTCTGACGCTATCAACAAGGTCCCCCTGCCTACTCCTCCACCTTCACCTTCTCCATCCCATTCCAAACTGTCATCATCTTCTGTTGCATCATCCAAACACAACAACCCCAAGGACAAAACGGCAACACCTTCAGTCCTCTGAAGCTCGGGGCAGGAACACTTGTGACTCCTGGACAGGGTGCTGTTGAGCCTACCTTCTACCCCCGAATACAACGTACGGTCATTATAGCTGTATTTAGACTGAAAGATACCCCAAATTCAGCTATAATGACCGTACGTTGTATTCGGGGGAAGACTGTAGGTACCCCAAGATGATCCAGCCTGACAGAGTGACTGGAGATGACTCCAAAGTGGATGTGACTTACTGGACTGCATCCATGAGATCATATCTCAAGGGGTTCACCTGCCCAGAAGTCAACAAGGTGCAGTCTACAGTGGCTTGGGGGCTCAACTCTCACGTGGGCTACTTCTGAGGCCAGCAAGGCCCAGCAACAGCTGAATGATTGGGGAGTTGCAGTAGGGTTGGATGGCATTTTTCAGGGCCTGGGGCTACGTTTTGCTGACAAGGAGAAGGCCCGAAAGGCTGCCAACGAGTTGGTCAGAATTGGCCAAAGCAAATGGCAGGGACAGCTGACCAAACTCTACACAACATTCGAGCGCCCTACCTCCACACCTGGTCTGGAGATGTCTGAGGCGACAAACTAACTTGGTATGTCAGCGCAGCTCCAGAGAAGTATTCCACAGCCCTATACACTGCAGACCACAAAGATTGGAGGGACTTTGGCAGAGCAGCACTGGATATGGAGGCTACACTTCAGATTCAGTCCACTTCCCAGAAGGAAAGCAACTACTCTTCCCAGGGTAGGAGGAAGGGAAAGGGGGGCATGTATGGTATGGAATCTAATGATGATTCTGCAACGCTTGGCCAGGGTGAATCTACCTCCCCCAACTGGCCAAGATGCAGGATTCTCACCAGAGCAGGTTGCTCTTGCAGTTACCCAGATATTAATGGCCTTCTCAAAAGGGGGCACTCAATTCCAGGGTCAAAGGAACTCCAAACCCAAGAAGGGGTCAGCCAAACACCCCCGTGGTCCACAAAAGCCTACGGTGCCTACCTTTCCCAAGTTTGCCAGATTCCCAGATAACCCAATGGATAGGCCTGGAGAGGCCTGAGAATACAGGAAACAGTCTGGTAGAAGAGGAAGGATCAAGGTGTTTGCCTCCGATGTGAGAGCAATCACTATGTGAAAGAGTGCCCAACCTGGGGCAACAATTCAAAAAAATAAATAGGCCAGCAGAGGTTGTGGCCACCCCTGCTGAATTGAATTCATCTCCTTTTGCAGATGATTCAGCCTATGTACCAGACCCCATTGAGGCTGCAACAGACTCAATGTACTCATATATTGAGCCCTTTCCAGATGAGCCCCTTTCTCGGGGTGAGTTTGATCAACTCTGTTCCGTCTCCCTTCAGTTGAAACATAAAAGGAGGGTGAAATCAGATGTGATCTTTTCAAACTGCTCATCAACAGGACTTAACTGAAAGCCCTGTTGGACTGT